CAAAAGAATCTGATCTGTATCTGACTTGGACCACACATGAAAGTGGCTTGTCAGATTGCATGTGATTCATGCTCTCCACACAATCTGAGTCAAATATGAGCAAAATTATCTGATTTGGGCCACTTGTTCCTGCAGTGTGAACAGTCTAATGCAACAGTCCTGCAATATATCCTCCTTTTATCAATGCTGTGATCACTTTCAGATGTAGTCTGTGATTCTGTTGAGCTGCTTCTGTTATTCAGCCCAGCCTACCTGATATAAATGTTATGGGCAGAATACTAGAAACACCTGTCAGAATAGTGGTATACAATTCAACAGCACCGCAAACTGCAGCCTCCAAAATGAGCATAAATCAAACACCTCTCTAAAACAGTTTCAACAAAAACTGAACTTTATAACCTGCATGGAGGGAGGATTTATTGCAGGACCGTTGTATTAAACCACCCCTGCAACCACTTGAAGCTTAGAATCCAGACTGTACCCAAATATGGCCAAATGCGCTGCTTCTGTGTGATACTGCTGACTCCAACAATGATAAGGATTCTAACAGAAATAGCCTTTTTAACTATATTTTGAGAATTGTTTAAACATTTTGAGTGGAAAGCTGCCACCACGACCTAGATAGGTAACAGAGAATGGATGGCTGTATTAGTGGCAAGCCATTCAACAGCTTTCCTCTAACAAGTCATGTCAGACCCATGTCCGCCAAACACCTGCCTCAATTTCACACTTTCTATTTTCGGGTCCCTGGTCTGACTGAATTTTCAGATACCTCATTGACAAGCTGATTTATATGCATGCTATCCATAGCGGGCATTTCATATATTAATACAAGGAACCATGCACCTGCAGTTCATTAGATTTATGAAGGGAAATTGTATGCAGGTAAACAGGTATAGTTTTATAAATCATAAAAAATATTGTATTAAGTGCACAGTTTTCTTCTTCTGTGATCTTGTATCCTGTAGTATGGAAGCACTGAGGAGAAAATAATAAAAGCCCTGGCCTGTGGTTGCATATCTGTGCACCAGTCCATCAGTCTTCCTTTTTTCACAGGACCGTCATTCTGTGGTGAAGCGTGGCGAGGGGGAGTCGCCTCCCAGCACCAGCCCCGAAGACGCCAATCAGACTTTCAAATTCTCCCCCGGAGACGGGCAAGCACTGCAGGTAGTCCAGCATCCAGCAGTCATCCATCATCTAGGTTGTTAGTTAACAGGTTCCCTGAGTGTGTTTTCCTTCCTGTTCCTACAGATCACCCCTCTTCCAGGTACTCACCCGCTCCTGGTCATGGTCAATCCCAAGAGTGGAGGAAGACAGGGGGAGAGGTAAGGTAAAACTCCTGCTGTGGTCAGGTAGTCTTTTACATTTAGTGAAATATCATGTATAGAGACCATGCAGTAGAGGTTTTAAATTAAAGTTGATGACAGCCATTTGGCTTCACATAAAAACTTTGAAACCTGATTATTTTATATGTCAAATATAATTAGTGTTCTTTTTTAATTTTTTTTAAATCAGTGGTTTTGGTTAAACAAAAGCAAAATGACAGAAAAATGGTTGTTGGTTCAGTCCCCTGACCGGCAGGATAAATCTTGAAGTGTTTTTCCACCAAATTAGCTCTGGTTCTTGAACCTTCTTGCAAGCTTGGTGCTATCTGAACCAGCCTGCATTTTCACCATTTTAATCAAGGATGCTAGATCAACAGAGGGAGCTGCACAATGCACAATCACATGTAGAATATGACACGCCCACTTTGGTTCCCAAGGAAAACATACTATTTTTGGTTCAGTTGGGAACCAACTTTTTGGGTTCTTTTGTTTGAAATGCTCCCAGTGGTTCAAAACTAGGTGCACGAACCAAAACGTAGCCACTTCCCTGTTGGTATAAAAGGCCTATTAGTGAAACTCTTCTGAATAAATAAGGCTGTAAAAAAAATGGTGGATAATTTAGGATGAAAATATAAAAATAAAATAATTCTTTATTACTTCTACCCTCACATGATAATAGTTTATTATCCTTATTCTAATTCTCTTTTCCGTTTTTGTTTTCCTTGTCAATTTAAGCTTTTTGTTTTAGCCCAGATGTAATATTATTAAATGACACTATTATTGGCTTTTGGCCCATTATGTTAAAATTACAGCCCACTTCAGGAACCTGATTTCTGTCACATAGGGCTGAGTACTCACTGCACCTCCCTGCTGTCCCTCTGAATGCTCTCATTGAAAGATGAAGAGGGCTATACATTGTTGCTTTGCTCCCCACCTACCACACAACACAGCCCAATCATACCCTGTTGCTCTGCCTCAGCCTGACACATTACCATAGCAACACACTCATTATTAGCATTAGAAAGGAAATTATTCTCTATTAATAGACACTACTAGAACAAAAAGATCATTTTGAGCAGGAAACCAGAGGCTGTTGTGTTGCTATTTTTGTCTGTGTGAAAACTGAAAGTTTTTTTTAATTCACTTGCACAATATGTTTAATTTGACTGCAGTTGTACAAGCTTCTGCCCTACATACAAACGATAACTGTTTAAACAGATTTAACATAATCTGTCTAAATCTGTTATCCACTGGCTAATATAAACTTTATTAGTACCTCATATACTTTGTGTAGTGTGGATTTCTACAAGGCTAAGGCATCTGAACACTTGTCTATACAAATATATTCAGTGAGATACACTGACTAGCCTCGTGTTGGATATTAGTAGAACATTAGGAGCCAGTAAAGTTGCCCGCGTGAGATGTGCATGAAGATGATTGTGCAGACTTCAATAAGCATTTTATGTAACTGTCACAAGGTTACAGGAAACGACTGGGTTGATGTGCTGCTCGCTCATACACTGACTGAAAATCATAAATGGACGAGTGAAGTGCATGCAAACTCAAATTCTCTACTTCTTTATCTCTGTTCTGCCTCAACTCTCAAATTATTATTTCTGCACACCTCAGACAGAAACTGCAGCGCCACTTTATAACAGATTTAAAGCTGCAGTAGGTAACTTGCTTTGCTGAAACTTTCACTATATCCTGAAAGTAGTACATGAGATAGATAGATAGATTCTCTAAAAAAAATAAAGTGCTTTCTCTGGCTCCTCTTCTCTGCAAGAATCCACCGGGCCTGAATGTAAACAACCAATCAGAGTCAAGAAAGATAGTTGATTGATGAGTCTCATTCCCATGTCGTCAAATAAACGCTGGGAATGAGACTGAGCAATCAACTATATTTAAGCCCCCATCCGAAAATGTCTTCCCATTTTTCTCAGTTTTGATTGGTTGTTTTCGTTCAGGCCTGGTGGATTCTTGCAAATACCATTAGGAACACTAGGAGGAGCCAGAGGAACCTGATTATTTCACAATTATCTGTCTCATGTACCACTGTCAGGATATAGGGAAAGCTTCAGCAAATATGACAAAGTTATTTTAACTTTACATACTGCAGCTTTAAGATGCATGTGGAGTTGTATAGAAGTCACTTATATCTACATATCTTTAGTGAAGCTATATGATGTTTACACTGATGCCATGATTTGTATGTCTTCACTATAAAACTGAATGTTAATTTTAACTGAAAATCAAGCTGACATGCATGTATTATATATATCTGCAAACCTTGGAATCTCATGTAGAAATTAAGATATACAGGAGTTTAAACACTGTTTTTACTGCATAACAGTTTGTAAAGATGTACCCATGAAGTTAAGTCAATTTAAAAGTACATTTTCTGCCTTAAACATGTTAGTTACATAACTGAAGTTAGGTTGGACAATTAGTTTAAAGTCTTATTTGAGTTGTAAAACCAGTGAATTAGAGAAAACATATTCAATAAGCTTAAGATATTAATTTGAACCAACAACTGTTCAGTCACACTGACAAACAAATAACTTACACCTGCAGTTGCTATTGATTTCAATCAACTTATTAAATGCAGTTTCTAAAGAAACATGATCAGCATATGTTTCTTTATAAACTACATTTAATAAGTTGATTGAACTTATTTTACTCTTCATTTCATGTTTCAACTTGTATAAGTCTGATGTAATAATGAGCATATTGTTTATGCTAACTAACTGTTTGACTTGCTCTTTCTGCTGTCTTTCTCTCTTCCTTCAGGGTACTGAGGAAGTTCAGGTACTTACTAAACCCCAGGCAGGTGTACAGTTTGGAGCAAGGTGGACCAATGGTAGGGTAAGTTTGCTGCATTCATATCTTTCCTGCAATTCTTATGTTTGTGAATGGATAGATGCTTTTTATAATGAAGGCCTCAGCATTGAGAGAGCTGTCAAGTTGACATGTTGATATGAGGATGGCATACTTTTGTTTCAGAACATGTCCAAATGTATTTATTTTTTTACTTAAACAAAGTGAAAAATAAAATGAAAATCTATATGACGTGACTCAGAGTGAGGCAGCAGGCAGATTCACGGACATTTTATGTATTTTTACGCATTTTTCTTTTTAGTTTTATTCACATTATGTGTAGTCACGTTTGCCGACTTCCTTCCTCTTTCTCTGACGTATCCAACATTTCCTGTGTTTACCCAGAAGTTAGAGCAACTAGAGGCAAGTAGGAAACACACTGTTACCTTAGGTTGTTTGGGTTAGGATACAGGCCACACCAGCCCATTAGAGCACATGAAAGAAATGTGCAGCCTTCAGACTACCTTTCAGTGGGAAAATAATTGATACACAGAGCCAGACACAAAGAAATGATGCTATCATTTCTTAAAAGATAAATTGAAAGTGAGCCTGTGATTTATTATTTTACTGCATCAGGAGTTTATGTTTCAGACTGAGAAGAACATCCTGAATCTAAAGTTAGTTGTTGTTCAGTGAGGGAGCTGTGCTGTCAGACCGCTTCTTCCCTTCATGTCAAACTGACTTGCTGTGGAGGTCGGTGAAGGAGAATGGGAACACCGCATTACTGCCGTGCTGTGCATTTGACCTCCTGACACACACACACACACACACGCACACAGACACACACTCACTCAGGCGTACGTCAGAGCTGAGCACAGCTTGTACTTTGAAATGAATGCTGTTGTGCCTTTCGTCCATTCATGGAATAAATATGAAGAAAATAGTACAAGGGCAGTAAATGCTTTACCTTGAAGGTGAAGCACTCCCTTCACCATCCCTTTGCTTCAGTTTCTGTGACTCTCCCTTCACGTCTCTCTCTCTGTGTCTCAGTCACGACTAGCAGAGCCGCTGCCCTCGAGAGCTCATTGTAGGAAAAGCGACCCAGTGACGCACTCAGGTCTTATGGGAGAATGCTGTAGATGCAGCGTCAAACACAAGGACTCTGATGTGATATTGGACACGGAAAAGATATCAATCTGAGACTGGGTGTAGTTTAACTGCATTACAGTTCTGTAGTCAAACTTTCTGAACAAAGCAGTTTATGAATCTTTACCTGTTTGTTTAACAGGCATCCTCAAAATCACTAGGGATAGGTATTGAGAACTGGTGCTAAACCGGTACCAATACAGGTCCCTGACTGGTCGGTATTGAAATATTGATAAGTTCCTGGATAAATGATACTGCCATCAGTATTAATAAAATGTTACATAAACAGCTGACAGAGCAAAATGTGGTCTAACTTTACTAAATTTAATGAAAATAATTCAATTTAACTTTTTTTAGGTAATTATAAAATAACTGTGGAAGCTTTTCACATCTTTTTTGTGTATCACAGTACACAAAAAAAAAACAGTATCGATAAGCAGTATCAGTATCGATATCGGTGTGTTTTTGTTACTTGAGAAATGAGCTGTTTTTATCCACAGACCCAGGTCGCCTTCTATGGAGACTGCCATGTTGAACCACCTTATTTCTACAGTTGCCCAGAATTGACAAACCAGACACTTTTTTGCACATTTTATGGCCACCGTAGTTTCTCCTTTGTGCTTTGTAGTGGAGGGTGAAGCAAGGGACTTGCGACATGCAACTTTTGATTTGACATCTTAAATATGTACTCTAAACCAGGTCAAACACTGCAACAAAATGGCTAGATGCCACTAAATCCTACACATTGGACCTTTAAATAGATAAAATAAATGTGTATAAAATAAGAAAAGAATAATAAAATATAAACTGTACAATTCAATTTGTATAGCGCCAATTCATAACAGAAGTTATCTCAGGACACTTTTCAAATAGAGCAATTAGACACAAAACGCAATTACAGGCAATAGTAGTACACATACGGTACCCACAACTAATGTTGTAATTGTACTTATAGTGCAGTACTGTCTCAGCAAAGTGTGACACTGTCAAAGTCGTATTGTCAGTTATAACAGTGTACTGTAACAGAGTATTAACAGTAACAGTAACAGAGTAACAGTAACAGAGTATTATATAATATGATTCTGCAAATGTATTTAAGAATAATAAAATCCTAACAATACCCATTCCAGGTCATCACTAATCACTACTAAGTCAAAACTAGTGTAATATTATTCATTCTTTCTCATCCTTAGCTCTGTTACTGGTACATTTTTCATTCCATTCATATTATATTGTTCCACAGTATCTTAGACCAATAAAATGTTGTTGTTGGGACTCACAGTAATTATGTCATTATTCATGACGAAGCTCATTTGTCATGTTTAACTCCATCTATTCAAGTGCATCTGGTCTATTATTCAGCTAACAGCTCAGGGGCCTTTTCACATCTTAAATGAGGCGATGTAACATTGTCATTGCTGAGTGGTGGAGAGTTGTGCCGGTGCTGCTAAGAGGTGGAGAGAGGCTGTACAGTATGCACAAGTGAATATAAACACATGCGTACAAATAAACACACAGGGCTGAAGGAAGGGTAAACTTGCTCTCAGCTCAACTCTTCACAACTGTTACCATGGGCTCCCTAGCAACAGGCTCAGCAGGCTTTGAGGCGAGAGGCAGCTTACTCTGTGTAATTTGTTTAGGGAATGCAATTCCTCACTGCACTTCCAGTCATTGTTTCAGCCCTTCCATTAATGTAAAGCCTGTTTGGCTGTTTGTCGATGTTTCTCAGAAGCTGTCATACATAAAGCATAGCCATTGTTCGTCAGGATTCGGTGGCTTAATTAAAATTTGATGCTGACATGCGGAGGGGTTTTGGTTGGATGCTATGCACAGCTCCACAGCAAGTGCATCTTGCTGTAGTTTCTTTGCTTGTCTGTCAGAGAGAGATATTGCTTCATGGCCTCTCCATCATCTGACCTGATCCAGAAATAATCACCACCTACTTTACTAGAGTGGACCACTGGCAAGAGAGAACCATCAGAGCAAAAATTGAGGAGGCTATTCAGGAGTTTAGACTTGAAGGAATAAGGCTGTGGCGGTATTGTTGTTTCAAGTGTACCAGTGAAACTTGAAATCTGATCCAGGAAATCAGTTTCTATAATAGATCCATTAGTATGAAGACTTAGCAGATGCCACAGGACAGTGGTTTATAAAAGATTGTAAAAGTCTTAAAAGTCATTATGGTGACAACTATTCTATCTTTCATCTGCAGAAATGCAGCGGTGGAATAAAAAGTTATTGCCGTGGCACGTGTTTGCCCACTAATCATCTTTTCCTATCTAGAAAAGTCTTCACTGCCGTTTTTCCAGAAATAATCTTCAGTTCTGATATAACTGATACTAGCAGCATCTACGCTAACATCTTTAGCAGCCACCATTGATATTTTTGTGCAACCACACCTGTAGCTCATGCTCTAGCTGCCAGTAGTCCCCTCATAGGATGATGATTGGTCTGAACCACGGGGGTAAACACAAACACATAGCTTGAAGCCTAGCAAGACAGATTCTTGCATGATCTCGTGATTTTGTGATCTTGTCCAGCTGCCTCACAAGGTTAGGCTGTAGTAAATGCTAATCAAACAGGAGTAAATAGAGCACTTGTTGAGGGAATATTGTCAGTTGTGGAGTTGGTTCTGCCAGACAGTGAGTTTACGCAAAATAAACCAAAATGAAAAGATTAATTGTAATAAAGAAACCAGTCAAACCTTGTGGCTCATTGATGTGTTTTTGGATAACAATGGATTTCTATGGCACAGAGGAAGAAGATCTATCAGCTTTGGCTACATAGGAAGTACTTGTTTCTAGGATCAATTCATTGTTAGTTTTAGTCTTTCATGGGATTTGTTGACAGTAAGCAAACTAAAATGTATCCATTAATGTGGAATGAACTTGCACATCTTGTACACAAGAGCAACTTGTACCTGTAACATGTATCCGCTGTTCAACCCACATTATGTTTATCTTAAGATGTAGATAGTTTAGAGAGCCTACAGCCGTTACTGTGCAGGACCAGGTGGTTGGCGTGAAAGTGGTCGGCGGCCTGTATGCAGCTGTCTCATGACGGAGAGAGATGAAAGCTACTGTCGACACCTTTGTCCCAACACACATTAAAGGTCCGTTTGAAGGGCACACACTCTGTGACCACTCTGTGACGATGGTTTCTAGGGAAGGGAGTGGAGTGAACACAGCTGGAGAGGGCACACATTGATTAATCTCGCTCTCTCTCCCTGCTTTTCCCTGGGTCTCTCTGCCCATCAGCCTTTCAGTTCAGTTCATTGAATCATTACAAAAACCCTGTCTCAACCGTTATGAAACCCAATTAATGGATACATCACCAATAATGCACTTTGACAGTGAGATTTAGGAGCGTTGTGTAGAAAATGTCAGAATAATACCTTTTCTAAAGCACCTGCATGTGTTGGTTAAATCTACTGGATCTTTTGTCCTCTCAGGCTCAACTTTTTCCATGATGTCCCTGATTTCCGGGTGCTTGCCTGTGGAGGTGACGGCACTGTGGGTTGGATCCTCGACTGTATAGGTGCGCATTCTGTCTATCCTCTGGACTAATGGCTGGAACATCACAAAATGACCAATAGCTACAACTTTTTTGATAGAAAGAGCAAACATTTTTACCCAGAATCAGATCTCAAGAATTAGCTAGTTATTATAATCAACATACTCAGTTGCCAAAGCTACGAACGTTTTAATTAAATCAGAATTTAAATAATTGAATTTATCTCCTTAGATACAAACTGTTGTTTCAAGGACTGTTCAGCTAACCTAGTATAAGATTGATCATTTTGTCTTTGTTTTTGCAGATAAGGCCAACTTTGCCAGGCACCCTCCGGTGGCCATCCTCCCTCTGGGCACGGGGAACGACCTTGCACGCTGCTTACGCTGGGGGGGAGGTGAGGCACTCTCAATCATCTGTGTATGTGTGTGTGTGCGTGTTTTGTGTAGTCTTTCACTGTATGTCCGTCCCTGCGTAGACATTTATATGAGATTTAAAGGACTGGTGTGTAGGATTTAGTGGTATCTAGCGATGCAGATGCAGATTGCAGATTGCAACCATTTGAATACAGCTCAACCTTCCAAGCATGTGGGACAAACTAAGGTGACCGGGAAAACATGAAGGGCCATATCTAGGGCCTGTTTTGTCAGTTTTGGGCTACTGTAGAAACATGGCGGTTCAACATGGAGGACAGCTTAATCTAAGGTAACAAAACCACAGTGATTCCTATATTCAGGTGATAATACACTAATGAAAACGTACCTATAAATATTATATTCCAT